TTTATTGTAATATATATACTCCAACAACAAGGAGTAAGAAATTTGGATACTAAAAAGATCACTTTTTTTTTACACCTGTAGATGACTTTCTTTGCACTTTTGTTGCTTAAGGGTTCAGAATTGAAACTCTGTAGTACAAATTCTGGCCATAAGGAAATCATCAGACAAACGGAACCAGTGCCCGTGAGCTTATGGCTATGTTAGGGCTAGAATTTTGATCCCTGACACCGAGCTCTCTGACTTCTGGACCCTTTAGCTTCCCTGGAATCTCTGAAAAATTGTTTTTTCCCCAGCTTTGCAGGTGCAAATCCTCCAGCCTAGCCACAGAGTTACAGGGCAGTTGTTCAGCAGCATAACCACAGTTTTGATAGAGGAAGCGAAGTGTGTCCAATCAAAACAGCAAAGGGTAATCTAGGTCAGCAGCCCAGCCACCTAGGTGGCTGGAGCCACAGAAGAATCCAACTTATCTCAAAGTGATGCATGTCACAATTTGGAAGGTCAACTCCCTGTTCTAGCTCACCTAAATCTTTGCCAGGATACGACAATTTCAAGTGAAGTATGTCTGTGTCCTGGACCGTTTCAAACCATTTATTCAATAACAATGCATCAGAGGCACTGGCTTCACCTCTCACTATCAAAATAGCTTGTTAACTATCCACTCTATGTTAATGATAATACCTAAAATGAACAGGCAGGAAGAAAATCATGTTTAAAATGCAGACGGCTTGCACAGGTTGCAAGTCAACCAACCAAAGAAGAAAATACAGCCCAGCAATTAATTGTAAAAAAGAAAAATGGTTCTAAGTAAATATGCATACTTTCCAATACTGAAGGAGGGCAAAGATCAGAAGTGGGGTTTAATAAAACCTGCTTTCAGGACTTGATTTTGTTCCTATCAAGCTAGCCATGTGGTAGCGAGTTTCCAAGTACTCTTGGAGGAGAGGATATTCCAAAGAGAATTTCACCTTTCTTTCTTCCCCTACCATCACAGGCCCTGCCTTTGAATATTATTATTTTTTTACTTTCATTAAAGCATATATTCCACCACTACATCAGAATGCTTATTAACGTTGCCAGGCAGAGTAACTGCTGGGTATTAATCTCTTGGGGGCCTGGACCATAAACTTGTCCAGACTTGTCTTCTCACTACGGCTCACTAACCAAAACCAATACCAAGGACACAGTGTCCTTCAATTCAGTTACAGAAAGTTCCTGGGCCACTAACTCTAAAAGGATCAAGAGCTTTAAATATTTCTGCATGCAATAAGCATGGCTCATGTAATGAGCTTTTTTTGTATGTGTGTCATATTTGTATAATGTGTCCCTGTGTCCTATGAAAAAGAACTGAAGCAGGGCCACTGCCTTGTACAACTCCATTGGGTGCATTCACATACTAGTCTGTGGTGCCTTATGGAGTTGCACAGTGCACAACCAGGGCAGCCTTGGGTAGTGGTCCTGATTGTTAGTCATTAGATCGGCCTCTGCGGAGCTTGGGTGTGAGCTATTGGGAGAAAACTGACAATGTATGCTTCAAGGGAAGTGGTGGAGGACATTAGAGCTGGATTGGGGCAGAGTTCACCCTGTGTGATTATGGGGTGAGATTGATACTGCTTGCCAAGCTTTAAAAAAGGCTGGTGAAGGAGATATTAATGCCCTGCTTCCTGGGAGGCTCTGTTCTGGGTGTGGTTGACCTGAAACCCCAGAGTGGGCTGGGCAGTAGCCAGCAGGTTACAGGCATTCCCCAGCCTACAACTTCTCTGAAGGCGTGTTAGCCCTCACTGTACTAGATAGGGATGGAGCTTTTAATTTTTTTTTCTTTTTAACTAGTAGCACCTTAATGTTTAAGCAGAACTTGCGTTTCCTGCAACCCAAAAGCTTTCTGGTGAGCCAGCTTCATGAGAAGGGCTCTCTTCTGCCAGCAGAGTGCTTAAGCCAGCACTTACCTACATCTGTAGATCCTTTTGGAGGTCCTAAATGGAGCTGCTGAATTGTTGTCATGGTTACCATGGGACGTTTCTGAGGCCAGTATGTTTTCAAGGAGGGCAGCCCTGGGCTCTGGGTATCCTACGTTCCTGAGTTGGCAACTGACGGAAAAAAAATAGCTTTCTCCTTCCTTCTTCCATACCTCCAGTCCCTAAGCAAGAGCCTGATGTCTCAGTGATCATCCTAGCTCCAAACCATCCCAAATCTACTGCACACATTTGATTTAGCCTTAAAAGATTAGCCTGACCTGACAGCACCAGACTGTGGCCCTGAGCGTCTCCACCTTCTATCAACCAAGACAGATTCCTGGATTCCTTTGTGCACACAGCTGCTTCTAGGCAAAAGACACTTGTGAAGGAGTTCCCTGCATTTAATGTGTTACAAAGGAAGTGACATTTTTGAACACTTCTGATGTGGTTTGGCTCTGTGTCCCCACCCAAATCTTATATCAAATTGTAATGCCCATATGTAGAGGGAGGGAGGTGATTGGATAAAGCGGGGGCAGTTTCCCCCATGCTGTTCTCATGAGATCTGATGGTTTTATAAGTGTTTCACAGTTCTTCCTTCACTCTGGTCTCTCCTGCTGCTTTGTGAAGAAGGTGCTTGCTTCCCCTTCACCTTGTGCCACGATTGTAAGTTTCCTGAGGCTTCCCCAGTCATGTGGAACTGTGAGTCAATTAAGCCTCTTTCCTTTATAAATTACCCAGTTTTGGATATTTCTTTAAAGCAGTGTGAAAATGGACTAGTAAAACTTCTTAGGAGTCCAGCACTTTACATGCATCTCATGTAATTTACAAACTTAGTAAGAGAGGAAATATCATTCACATTTTATCTACAAGGAACCAAGGGCTTACAGAGGTGATGCCCAGGTCTGCACAGCTAGGAAGTAGCAGACCTGGGATCCAAATTCAAGGCTATTTTGTTCCAAAGGTGCTCTTTTTTCCAAGTCATGGCTGCCATTTTAGCCACTGATAATTAGTAGCTCCAAGGGACCCTCAACCATCTACTGGGCATGGAACATTCATTTGTTCATTCAATAAATGTGTCTTGAATCTGCTCTGTGCCAGACCCTCTTCTGGCCACTGGGGACATAAAGATAAATCAGGCACAACCTCTGCCCTTAAGAAACTAACCCACTGACAACCAGCAGTAATTAAAAGAGAGGAATCTACAAGATATTAGAGAGAGGTCCAGTCAGGGAAACCATTCTGGAGGAAATACACCTTATGGAACTCGCTAAGTTCCCAGGCATGTCCAGTTGTAGGGAATAAACAGCAGGCAAGACCCCAATCTCTATGCTCAAAGAATCCATAGTAGAGTTGCAGAGACAAGACTCATGCTCATGACACAATGAAAGAGAATAAAATCACCGATTTAAGGCCCTCAGGGAAGTGATGGAGGATTGACAGATTGAGGCAGAAGTTGAGACCATTAGAGGAAGGCTATGGAAATGAAATGGAAGCCATCTTTGTTCATACTATTCTTCATTAAGTTTGGTATCTTTTTTATCCCCTAGTTTTGCCAGTTACTTCTGGCTCTACCCTGATTTCTTTTTTTCATTTTCCTTCCTGCTAAAGGAAAATACTCATTTAACATCTTTAAAGCTTGTGCTGACAGCAAAGCATTATCCTAACCCTTGATGGTGGTCACAGTGTTGGTAATGTACAAAGATAAACGAGGTGTAAAAGTCCTTGAGTAGCAAACAAATAATGAAAAGTCTGAGATGTTAGCTCCAAACCAAATGGCGAAAGGAAGGAAATAATTAATTCAGACTTGGAAACAGAGGTGAGGGGTGGAGGGGAGTGATGGGTGAGAGGGGTGGCTGTGGGGTGGGGGACTGTCACTCAGGGAAGACTTCATTGTTGTTGGTTTGTTCATTCTCGTTTTCAGGATTCAGTCACTGATGTCTCCTAACTACAACGTCTGCTTCTCAAAGATTCCAGCATAGGTTTGGAAGACATAAACCATCACACTATAGTGTGAGAAACAAGCACGAAATGTACACAAGGCCGTAGATGCTTATAAGAAAGAATTCAGAAGATACTGTTGGTGGCATTTGAACTGATTCCTAAAACTATATAGGAATTTACCAAAGGAGAAGAGTGGAAAAGGCATGTAAAAAGGCATTGAGAGCGTGTTTGGAAGGGGATGAAGCAGTCAGATATATTACCCACAAGGTAGAAAGGCTCGAATACCACGCTAAGAAGTTTGGCCTTTATCCTCAAAATAATGGGCAACCATAGAAGACATCGGAGCATGGAGGGTCAAGATAAAACTTTAGTTTTGGAATTTTCCCTCTGGTATTGCAGGTAAGGTGGACTAGATTGGGATAATACGGGGGCTTAGCCACAGACACGTCAGCTGCATCTCTGTGCCTGGAAGACTGCACCAGATGCGAGTCTAGCAGAATGGGAGAATGGAAGGTGCGGGTGATTGAACGGAAGGTTAAGGGAGAGTCCCTCGTGAGGTCTACAAGACGGGCAAGGGCAAACGCAGTTCTAGGCACCGCACAGCTGCTGGGAAGACCCGCCTCCCCTTCCAGATCCCTCTGGGGCGGAGCTCGGGCCAGAGCACGTGACGCTTGCAGCACCACCTTTACTGTGGGCACTCTTCACATTCATCCGCGGTTTCACGGGCCGCCACTTCGATCTCCAACACCTTGACCCAATGCCTTCGTGAGCAAGGAATCCATTCTCTTCGACGCGTCCCCATTTCTCCTCCTGCAAAGCCAGAGAGGGAAGAGAAATATCGAAGGAGTCCCTTTCCCACACAAAAGATGGCGACCTGCTGGGCTCACTCTGAGTGGGGGAAGTGGGCGACCTACTGGGCTCACTCTGAGTGGGGGAAGCGGGTTCCAGGCGCCCGGCCTCACTGGGCGAGGCGCAGACGGAAGAGGCGTCTCTGGAGGTAACTTTTCGACCTTCTTGGGAGTAGCCCTGAAACGAGGGGGCGTGGTCTTGTCTGAGGTTCTAACAGACGATTGGCCTTCCGGCCGGTAGGTGGGGCATGCGCGCTACCCCACCCCCCCTCTTCGAACCGGAAGTGTCTCTGGGTCTTTCCAGCTGGTTGTCATTTCACTCGGCTCGGTCCTGAGGAGAAGGACTCAGCCGCGGCTGCGGGACCCGGGCACCGGGAGGCAGTGGCGGCGGCGGCGGCGGCAGCAGCAGCAGCGGCGACAACAGAGGAGGAAGAGGAGGAAGAAGGAAAGAAAAAGAAGAGCCAGGCGGAACCCTCAGCAACGACAGCGGGGACTGTGGGACCAGGGTAAAGCGGCGACGGCGGCGACGGCCCAGCAACCGTGAGGAGAAACAAAAGCCTTCTAAATTATAGTTTTAAAAAAAATCTAGGGGAAAAGAGAGAGAAAGCCGAGGGGGGAGGCCCTTCTCCTTTAAAATAATTACGGTAGTGGGTTTTTCCTTTTTTTTCTCTTTTTTCCCTCTCTGCGGAGAATCGAACTGAGGGAACTGAACAAACCACCCCTGGGTCCCATGAGGGAAAAAAACCCCGGAGCCGCAGAGAGGGGAAGAGGCAGAAACCGCAGGACCTTCCAGGTCGCTCCCTCGGTCCCCGCACCCCCGGGCCGCCAGCTCACCCTCGTCGAGTCTTGCTAATCCCTTCTGATCGCGACCCCCCAAGAGGGAGAAACGGGTGTTTCCAACCCCTTTCATGGGGGAGAGGAAGCCGGGGGGAGCCCAGGAACAGCGACCGCAGCAAGATCTGCACCCGAAGCCTCAGGAACAGCCCCAGAGGCCAAAACTGCACCCTGCGAAAGAGCAGAAAACAGGACCAGGAACAGCAGAAACCTCCCTGCAATCATCTTTCCATTAGTCAATGCTGATTTCCTCTCCCGAAACCAGGAATTCACTTCCCACCCCAGATAACCTAATATAATCTATATATATAAATATATAATATATAATGTTCTTAAATTATTCCTGATTTTTTTTAACCAAGCTGCCAAGAAAAGAACGTATTCCCCTCTTAAACCTATTCTAATTTTTATGTGAGTGAATCTAAACTGCTGAGGAAAACCATATGTGATTGTTAAATTATATATATCTATATTTTTACTCCGTGCAAGGCTTATTCTTCTACATCCATAGATGCTTGAGAAGCTCTGTTTTTGTCATTCATGTACATTTTCCTTTGGAAAAAGAAAGCGCCTATTTTACTAACCAAAGACTTGATTTTTACCCTCTTTGTTTTTATTCCCTCCTAAAAATAAGCCCAATTAGATCCATGTCAATGTTCTAAGAGATTTTTTTAGAGTTGTTTTTTTTCTTTCAGAGACCAGAATTCCAAATCAGAACAATTTAAGGTGATAAGCTGCGATCTTTGAGCTAGCTATAAATAAGACATTTCAAGTAAGCAAGCAAACAACTTAAATTTTGGGTAGAGGAAAAAAAGGCGTGAGACATCAGGTTGTCATTTTTTATTGTGAGATTCTGCTCCTAAAAATAATAAATGGGGGATTACGGGTTTGGAGTGCTAGTGCAAAGCAATACTGGGAATAAATCTGCTTTTCCAGTCAGATTCCATCCACATCTGCAGCCTCCACACCATCACCAAAATGCCACCCCCAGCCCTGCTGCTTTTATAAATAATAACACAGCTGCCAATGGCAGCAGTGCTGGGTCAGCTTGGCTTTTTCCTGCTCCAGCTACCCATAACATTCAGGATGAGATCTTGGGGTCAGAAAAAGCAAAAAGTCAGCAACAGGAACAGCAAGACCCTTTAGAAAAGCAGCAGCTTTCCCCAAGTCCAGGTCAGGAAGCTGGAATACTGCCTGAAACCGAGAAGGCAAAATCAGAAGAAAATCAAGGGGACAGTTCTTCGGAAAATGGCAATGGGAAGGAGAAAATAAGAATCGAATCTCCAGTGTTGACAGGGTTTGATTATCAAGAAGCCACTGGGCTAGGTACTTCGACCCAACCCTTGACATCTAGTGCATCGTCTCTTACTGGTTTCAGTAACTGGTCAGCAGCGATAGCGCCTTCCTCCTCTACAATAATCAATGAAGATGCAAGTTTCTTTCACCAGGGAGGGGTCCCTGCTGCTTCGGCTAATAACGGTGCTCTGTTGTTTCAAAATTTTCCCCATCATGTCAGCCCTGGCTTTGGAGGCAGCTTCTCTCCTCAGATCGGGCCTCTCTCACAGCACCACCCACATCACCCTCATTTCCAGCATCATCACAGCCAGCATCAGCAGCAAAGGAGGTCTCCTGCCAGTCCCCATCCCCCACCCTTCACACATAGAAATGCTGCTTTTAACCAGCTGCCTCATTTGGCGAATAATCTTAACAAACCCCCCTCTCCATGGAGCAGCTACCAGAGTCCGTCACCAACACCCTCCTCTTCCTGGAGCCCGGGCGGTGGTGGATATGGTGGCTGGGGAGGTTCCCAAGGCCGAGATCACCGCAGAGGGCTAAATGGTGGAATAACGCCCCTGAACTCCATCTCGCCTTTGAAGAAAAATTTTGCAAGCAATCATATTCAGCTCCAGAAGTATGCTCGCCCCAGCTCTGCCTTTGCACCTAAATCCTGGATGGAAGATAGCTTGAACAGGGCTGACAACATTTTTCCTTTTCCGGTAAGATTATGTTCCATTAATAGATTAGGATGAATAAGGAAATAGCATGGTGTAATATCTGTGTAACTAGAGTTTGAAGTGCCCGTATTCACGTCGGAGCTTTTCTTAGATAGAAAATGAATCAATATCCAGACTTTATTTAGCAGGAGTGTAACTGAAACAAAATATTCAGCTGTTTCTCTGGCAGTTTTCTAGACTGTAGCCTTAATCTTGTCATAGATAATTATGAATACTTGGTAGCTGGTGATGTAATAATTATTGACTATGATACCTTTCTTGCCTGACATGAGAATCATGGTCAGTTTTTCCCTAGTTACTTAGGTGAGAATAAATATTATATAGATATAAATATATTTCATTGCAGAAACTAATCAGTGTTTTCTGAAGTAACTATATAACTAAAGAAATTTCTTTTGACACTATAAGGTAGTGATTTACTGAAAACCCGCTATTGAATTGCAGTTTTCTCACTGGTTGGTTGCATTTTAAACCTGAAACTCTCTGAGCCTTGTCGGTCTGAACAGTCTGAATTGATGGGTTTGGCAATTCCTCTTAAACTTCTGCAGATTTCGGCCTACCTTTCATCAGTAAGGACTAACCAGTGAGAGAAATGATCTAAATGTTTTCTTCATCCCCATTTATTTTTGAACACTATGAAACTGTTAGTCTCGGAGTGACTCTTTATGCCTTTCACCCATTTGTTTATTTTCCAATGTTAACACTGGAGGTGTAGATAATTAAACCATTCCTAAAAATAGATCCAGGCAAAGCTCATTTGTCTTTCTGGCTACCAGTATGTCCTTATTTTGGCAAGAGTCATTGATATTTTTGAATTAATGAGCAGCAAGTTTGGTTAATACAAACAAGATAAAGGGAATTTCATAGGTGCTTCAACGTCAGATGCTTCACTAAATGTGTATACTTTAAGGGTATGATTATATATGTGTGTTTAGGAAATTTATAGGGATTAAGAATGTAGCATTGAATCTAGTTTTCTCAACAGCCTCGCAGCGTGAGTTCTTTTATTGTCCCCATTTTACAGATGCAGAAATTGAATATGAAAAATATGTAATAACTTACTCAAGGGTACATAGCTAGTCAGAGTACAAATTCTAAGTTAAAAAAAAAACTCAAGGATTGAAAATATGTATACATATGTGTGTGCACATACACATGTGCTACAGCTAGAGGATTGTTTTAGAAATATTTCCGAAAAGGCTAGAAGAGATTACAGAATCGTCGCATCGTTGCACTGTTAGCACTAGCAGAATTATTTATTTTAATTAGTAATTGGCTGAGAAGGAGGGGAAGTTTGCTAAAAGAACCCTATGTCATTTGAGGAGTTATATATCCCTTCCCTAAGGATTCAAGTGCAGTACATCATAAAATATGTGGTTACATTTAGTTTTCAACTTTTAAAAATGATTTTTTTTTTTTTGCCTATCAGAAAGCTGTTGGCATTTGCTTTAAAGGGTTTCGGTTGTTAAAACCAAAGATCAATTACTGTGCTTTAGTGGTCAGGTAAAAAGGCTGTTTTTAAGACCTTGACAATCTCATGAAGTCTATTTTTAAAAAGTTGCTTTTGATATTCCTTGGAACATAAATTTAAAGAAAATTTAATGCAAAGATAAGTTTTGATTATTGGATAATTAGATTATTGGGTTATGGGATTAAGATTTGGCTCAGAACTGAATACATCTTTTTTTCTTATTTTGCTGCTATACACTGGCAGAATGAATTTATGTGGCCTCACGATTTGGTTCCCATTCTCAGCTTGCTGACTTTTGATAAAGATTGCTTTAGGAAAAATGAAAAGTTCAAACAATGAATAAAATATACATATATGCACATTAATATTTTTTCTGTCGTCCTAATAGAGCGTATGTAATGTGTGAAATCTTTTTGAACAGTTTCTTTGGAAATTAAGGTGATTTATGAAATAATAGTTAGATTAAGATTGATACCAAAACATACTGTTAGAAAGTAACTCTTCCCTTAGAATTGTTGTCTTTTATATTGATTATGGCAAAAGGATTGGTCAGTGTACCTTGCTCTCAAATATGGTAAGATTCAAAAGTAAATTGTTATTTCTGCTCCCCATCCCCATCATTTGTAGCTGTGTGTATGTGAGAGAGAGAGTGCACGCACACATGTGCGAGGAGAGAAAGCTAGCAGTGGGGTGATCTGAAAGTCACAGGAGAAATAAGTGATTTGAAAAAAATCTCTACGACAAGAAACTCCTAATTGGGTTTTGAGAAAGTCTAAAGAAGCAAATAAACTGACTACTGTGATTCTTACTTAAGTGAATGGAGTTCTTCTTATTTTTAAAAACCAATAGTTCTTGTGAATTAGTTTTTTTTGGCAAAAAGTATCACTTTAAGTTGGTATAAGTAACTTGGTTAAATTTGTCTTATTTAAATTTATAACATGCAGGCATGTGCCTGTAATCCCAGCTACTTGGGAGGCTGAGGCAAGAGAATTACATGAGCCCAGGAGTTTGAGACCAACCTGAGCAACATAGTGTGACCCCCATCTCAAAAAAATAAATAAATAATTTATAACTTTAACACTATTAATTTTAGGAAAGAAATTTTATAGATATTAGCACTTCAATTTAATTACTATTATAAAGAATTTCTTTCTTCTGCAATATTTATCATAGGGAAAAAAAATAAAGAGTTCCTTAGTGTGATAGAGAGATCTTAAAACTTACCACAGACGTTAAAGGATAGTGCTTGCATAGTTATATTATAATATTGGTGTTCTATAAAAGGCCAGCACGTTGTTGTTATATTAAAAGGAAATAATTTACCTGACGTGTAACTGATACTAAGTAGTGTTTATTTTAATTTGAAATGAACCAGAATGATTTTTACATCTGTTTACTGCAGGCTTGGGTATATATAGTGAATTAAAATTAATAACCTTTTACATTCATAACTCCCTCCCCCCAAATAACTGATAGGGGAAGGCATTTTATTTGTGGGTATTTTTGTATATTAAAATTTATTTCGAAGTTATTTTTGTTTAGCTTAAAGCTTCATTACGTGAATTCAGATGGCACCCCTCAAATCCTGTTTTTTGTTTGTTTTTTTGAGACAGGGTCTTACTTTGTCACTCAGGCTGGAGTGCTGTGGGACATTCACAGCTCATTGCAGCCTTGACCTCCCGGGGCTCAAGAGATCCTCCCACCTCAGCCTCCCCAGTAGCTGGGACTACAGGCACACACTACTCTGCCCAGCTAATTTTTGCATTTTTTTGTAGAGGCAGGGCTTCACCATGTTGCCCAGGCTGATCTTGAACTCCTGGGCTCAAGCAGTCCTCTCACTTCAACCTACCAAAGTGCTGAAATTACAGGTATGAGCCACCGTGTCTGGCCAAAATCCTGTTTTCAGACACAGCTAAAGTAATATGCATTTAATAATAGCTAACATGCAGCCGGGTGCGGTGGCTCATGCCTGTAATCCCAGCACTTTGGGAGGCTAAGGCGGGCGGATCACTTGAGGTCAGGAGTTTGAGACCAGCCTGGCCAACATGGTGAAACCCTATCTCTACTAAAAATACAAAAATTAGCCGGGTGTGGTGGCAGGTGCCTGTAAGCCCAGCTACTCGGGAGGCTGAGGCAGGGGAATTACTTGATCTCTGGAGGTGGAGGTTGCAGTGAGCTGAGATCATGCCACTGCACCTCAGCCTGGGGAACAGAGTGAGACTCTGTCTCAAAAAAAAAGAAAAAATATCTAGCTTGCCTCCTGTGTTCTAAATGTTTTGTGTGTGTTGATTCATTTAATTCATTCAACAATCCTATGAGGCAGAAATTATTATTTTTATTCACAGACAAGATTTGGCTCTTAACCATTATACTACAGTGCCTCTTCACATAGTGATTATGTGGCAGGGGGATAGTGGGTATAGGTGGGGTCGGTAGGGAGGCAAAGTGCCTCCCAGAAGCATGTAAGATGAGAGGAAAAATTTTACAGTGATTCGTGATGACCAAAAGCTGATTATAGATTGAGTATTAAAAATGGAAAATAATTGAGTATACTTATCAACTTTAAATGTTAAATTTAGATAATGTTTAAGTCAATGCTTTTGTTTTAAATTTTGAGTATATATTATATACCAGGCACGGGACTAGGTGCTTTCAAATATGTTATTTCGCTTTCTATGTAGGATTTCTCAGCCCTGTGGCATTTGATTTTATTGTCCCAGTTTCAAAATGAAGAAACAAGGTCCATATTCATGTTACTACAGGCATGATTTGACCCTTACAGTAAGGGGAGAAAAAAATCCTATCTGTCCTACCAAACACATCTTTGAATTCTGACATCCAAACCAGATATGTTTTAGGGCACCTGCCAATAATTATATTTGAGTATAGCATTTCTTTGGAGGAGTGCCTAGATCTTCTGTCCTTACAGGAAGGTAAAGGAGAATTGCTTAGTTTATGTGCAGACACCCTCTTAACTACAGCTCAATTATGTTGCTACTTTCATTAGCTAAGAGTCAGGAAGTAAGGAAAAGACAAAATCTGTATGTCGCAAGACCATCCTAAAACTTGTTTGATGGGGAAACAAGTGTATAGATCCTCATAATTATCTACTGCATATTATATTTGTAAACAGAACATTGCTGCAGTGCTTCAGTTCTGAAAGTCATGGTGAATTATTAAAATTGTTTAATACGCAACCTTATTACATTTTCTTGTTTCTTGATACAGTATATTCATCCAAGAGGGAACTTTGCATAGGAAATATTTTCTTTTATTTAAAAGGGGAGAAACCAATTTTTTAACTGTAAATTATGGGTCGGGTGGTTCTAGCTCTAGCAGAATTGATATATTGGAAAAATCTTGGGAAAAGCCTGTCAGATACAAATTTCTTCCTCTTTGTAGACAACTTTTTAACTAGGTGAGATAGTTTTTCTGATGAATTTAAAACTAATTCCAGAGTAGAGTTTTTTTTATTTTTATTTTTTTATCTTCAGAGAAGCCATGGAATATG